CTAAGCAGGGAATCACTACATATTTCTGGGCTTCATATTTCTGAATTATAAAATTGAACTACCTCCTAAGGAGGAAGGAGATGAGGATGAATGTAGAAAATATCTTCATAAATCTGCATTCCTTGGAGACATAAACAGACATGGGGGGTAGTTATCATTATTCTTGTTATTATTATTATTATTAATTATTTTATTTATTTATTTTTTAAAGATGACCGGTAAGGGGATCTTAACCCTTGACTTGGTGTTGTCAGCACCATGCTCACCCAATGAGCTAACCGGCCCTCCCTATATGGGATCCGAACCCAGGGCCTTGGTGTTATCAGCACTGCACTCTCCCGAGTGAGCCACGGGCCGGCCCTTATTCTTGTTATTATTGATGCTAGTGTTTTGATGTTTATAATTAAGTGGATTAGATTGAACCCTAAATTCCTCCTCGACACGCACTCCTCCACCCAAAAAAAACACCATGTCATTTTTACTGGGCTTTCTGTGTTAGCCTGTTTTCAGGCCAAATTTTCACATGTAGGTTATATAAGTCACACTGAGGGCTGATGGCATTAAATCTTAACCCTTGACTTGGTACCCTTGACTTGGTGTTGTCAGCACCATGCTCACCCAATGAGCTAACCGGCCCTCCCTATATGGGATCCGAACCCAGGGCCTTGGTGTTATCAGCACTGCACTCTCCCGAGTGAGCCACGGGCCGGCCCTTATTCTTGTTATTATTGATGCTAGTGTTTTGATGTTTATAATTAAGTGGATTAGATTGAACCCTAAATTCCTCCTCGACACGCACTCCTCCACCCAAAAAAAACACCATGTCATTTTTACTGGGCTTTCTGTGTTAGCCTGTTTTCAGGCCAAATTTTCACATGTAGGTTATATAAGTCACACTGAGGGCTGATGGCATTAAAAAAATGTTAGTACCAAGTATCATTAAATTTGTGCTTTCATATTGTGGGTTGTGAGGTTGTAAAAAGAATTGAGAAACAAACTTCCAGGGCCTGACTGAACAAATTAGGGGAAAGTGTTTTAATAATCACATGCCTGTGAAGTTCTTTCAATATATTGAGGGCATCCCAGAAGATCTGCATTCCAGACCCCAAGGGCATTTTGCCAACTTCTTTGTTCATCCGATTTTACAAAAGCCTCAAGTTTTATGGCTTTCTCGGTTTCCTCCCTGATGTTTCCTGCAGATTGGAGGTGCTTACTGTGGTAACCCAAACACAACTGTTCGTATGAGTATAATAGGACTTCAACTACACAGTAACAGCTGCAACTTTTCTATTTTTTCAGAAAGTCGTCATTCTCCAAGTAATTCTTATGACTTGAAAAGGGAAACAAATAGGCCGGCCCGTGGCTCACTCGGTAGAGTGCGGTGCTGATAACACCAAGGCCACGGGTTCGGATCCTATATAGGGATGGCCGGTTTGCTCACTGGCTGAGCGTGGTGCTGACAACACCAAGCCAAGGGTTAAGATCCCCTTACCGGTCATCTTTTTGAAAAAAAGAAAAAAAAGTGCTGCTGTAAAAAAAAAAAAAAAGAAACAAGATGATAAAAGAAAACATACATGTATTTGCTTATCGTTACAAAAAGAAACATAGGAAAGATAAAGCAGAAACTATTGAGATTGCCTAGAGGCAATGGGTGGCAGCTGGGTGGAAGGTAGAGGACAGAGAAGAGACACTTCTCTGAGCATACTTTTATTTATTTATTTATTTATTTATTTCACATTCACTTTTTTTTTTAAAGAAAATGTAACTTTATTAATATTATTCTTTTTCAACTGGACCAATTGTGGGTTTCGCTTCACCCTTGAGTTGTGCAGCTCTGTATCACCTTGGCAAATCTTTTAACCTGTTTGTCTGTTTCATCTGCTTGGGAAGTGGAACTCATTCTACTTACCCAACCACTACTTTGCTTTTTAACTACCTGCTAATAAAGTAGTATCTCTGGGGAACAAAAGATATATTTTCTCATTTGGGGATATTTTCAGCTTGAGGAGATCTTCGTGTTAATTTCCTATATAACTATGAGTAAATTGTTCAATCTCTGAAGGACTTTATTTTCTATAAGGGCATAGTGAGGATTAGCAGTTTCTACTCAACTATTTCTGGAGATTTTGAAAGATCAGATAAAACGTACTTAAGACACCTTCCCTCACACACATACAAAAAAACATGCCATGAACAGAAGGTGGTAGGACAGTCTTATCAATGTAAAGTTTGGAGCAGTCCAGTGAATGGAACTAGTTGAATTAGCTGGACATCTCGAGCCAGGGAAATGGCAGGAACCATTTGTGTGTTGTGCTGTGTGCTTGTGTTGACTCTCCTGATGAACTAAGAAGTAAGAGAGGCTTGTTGCACCTAGGGTTTAGAAGTACAGAGTACGTGCCCAGTAAACCCATTTCATGTCATAGGAAGAACACCATAAATATACTGGAAACAAAGGAAATTCCAAAATATATAAGATTGAGAATGTAGAGATGAAGAAATGGAGGCTTAGAGGAAAAAAATAGGGATCAGTGAACATTGGAGCCACAGAGCACATGAGAGCACATGGCAGTCGACAAGTAATCTTTTTTGACTACCTTGGTAGAGGTTGTTGCGGGAAAACTGGGAGGATTAATGAGAAAAAAAAAAACAAATGTGTATTTGTGATATATCTATCTCATTGAATATCTCTTCTGTGCAAGGCATTTGACATCTGTCTTCTAATCTAATCTTCACAGTTGCCCTTTGGAATAGGTAGAGTTCCTTTTTACAGATGAATAGGGTCACCCATGCTAGTGTGTTGCTGTCAGTTGCAGTCCATTACCTGGACTGAGCAGATACATCAGCTTATATAAACTGCATAATAAAAACATTTCTAAGTGCAAAGTAGGTGCAAACTAGAAGGAGTGAAGATGGAGAGCCTCTAGATGCAATAGGGGTGAACCAAATCCAGTCTGAAAATGACTTCTTGAAACTTTGACACATTAGTGACCTTTATATGATGAACACTGGCTTATAATAAGGTTCTAGAATGTTGGGAACAAGTGCCGAGGACTTTTGCAAGTACTCTCTGATTCATATATATTCATCACCAGTCCATTGTGAACCTTGAACAGAAATTCTCTGAATTTCTTAAAAGTTTGTGTACTATTGATGTGATTAAAAACAACAGGAAAGAAAGGAGGCTAGTTTTAAATATGTGAGTTTGTTCTGGCATTTTAATTTTTTTCATATGAAGTCCCCTGTGTATGCTGTCCAAGTGATAGCTTATTCCCCTCTGGGATGAGTCCCACCCGGCTGCCCTCTGTCTGACAGAGAGGCTTCCATTCTAGTTACCAGAAGCTACGGACATGTTTATTCTTCCCTTTCTTTTACCATCTGTTTCTAGTGTTTTCTTTTTTTCTTTTTTTTTTAAAGATGACCGGTAAGGGAATCTCAACCCTTGGCTTGGTGTTATCAGCACCACGCTCAGCCAGTGAGCTAACCGGCCATCCCTATATAGGATCCGAACCCGTGGCCTTGGTGTTATCAGCACCGCACTCTCCCGAGTGAGCCATGGGCTGGCCCTCTAGTGTTTTCTAATGTGTAGTCTTCAACCTTTCTTCTACCTACCTAGCTCTTTAGTTGGTTCCTGGGACTCCACAGCAACCTACCCCAGTCATTCCTCTTTACCATTACCAGATAACTCATTTTCCTAAAACACTATGTTCATCATGTGACTCCCCTACTCAGTAGTCTTCCTGGGCCCATTTACTGTCCATTCCAGAATCCCAGATCCTCTGCCTACCTTTTAAGGCTAGATTTCCCTTTTTTCTCCAACACAGGTCCACTATTCTAGTTCTTCTATACATTTCTCCCTCTAGTCCTTTACCCATGTTCTCTTTCCACTAGGAATCTCTGATCTCATCCTTTAAAACTGTTCTAATCCTGCCAGTCCTTCAGTGCCCTGCCCAGGTTCCATCTTCATATAGAATAAACCTTCTGTTGATGGTTCTTAAGTGTTAGAGATACCTACTCCTAAGGAAACTTATCTCCCTCTATTCTTCCTGTTTTTACTCAGCAACAGCCACACTGGCCTACTTGCTGTCCCTCAGACATGCCAGGCTAGTTCCCATCTTGAGAACTTTATGCCTGCTCTTCCTTCTGCTTAAGATGTTCTCCCCCCATCTCCATCTTCACAGGGTTTTGTTTGTATCATTCAAGTTTCAACCCTCATTGTTGAAGAGAGTTGAACAGGGAGAGGCCTTACCTGACCATTCCAGCTGCACCAGCCTCTAGGTACTCTGCCATTTACTCCTGTTGATTACTCATCTATACCCGAATTCATCTTGGTTTTTCTGCCCTCCTTCCCTGCCTTTAGAATGTAAACTCCTGAGGGCAGGCACTTTGTCTTGCTTACCACAGTATTCCCAATACTTTGAACATGACTGACACACAGCAGGCTCTTGGTAAATGTTTGTTGACTGAAACATCCCATACACTGTGCGTGGTCGTGGGGATGGTGGTCACTCCCCTCTGGCTCTGGCATTTGAGGGCTCTGAATTATGAACATCCAGGTGAGTGGACTGTCCAGTGTTGGAATAAGCTACCGGTGACTGATAGAAAGTCAGTTTCCTATTATGTGCTATTTATCTTCTGATGAGGTCCGCTTAATTGTACTGTAGTTTTTGCCTCTCCCATATGCTGCTCAGAGCAGAATAAGGACTACCTCAGTATTATGGGTATTGCTCAAATCTAGCCAGGGCTTCTGGCCTTGCTGTAAATACTGTTTGTTGAGAAGACTACAGAAAAGCCATGTTGCTGTATGATTTGGCCTGTGGCAAGCTGTCCTTTCCAGGGACTAAGAGCTGTACCCTTGGCATGCCCTGTTACCCCAGGCCACTCAGTTTCATTGTGCTCTTATTTTCTTCCTTTGCAAAGTGGGTTTTGGGGATTAGATGTAAATAATACCAGGAGAAATGTTCAAATAATGCATAAAATTCTAACCTTTCCCCCCTTCTTAGATGTGAACGATTAGAAGAACAACTAAATGACCTAACGGAGCTCCACCAGAATGAAATCTTGAACTTGAAGCAGGAATTGGCCAGCATGGAAGAGAAAATCGCCTATCAGTCCTATGAACGGGCCCGAGACATCCAGGTTAGCATGAAGGATAGGGTGTAGAAGCTAAAGTCCAGAGGGCTAGAAAGAAAGAAGGAAAGGAGGGGGAAAAAGATGAGAGAGTAGAACAACAAGAAACACTTACAGCAGCTGTAGTTCACCTACTCTTCAAATGACTGAGGTGTGCTTCTCAAAAATCTACACTACTGAGGGTGGTACACATGCTTGAGTTCTTGGGAAATGTTTCTTAAGGTCACAGTAGTATCAGTATATAGAAAACCACATGCATTCCATCTGTTGGTTACAAGATGCTGCTCTAACAAGGCTTATAGCCATCTTGCCTGTCTTTTCTGCTGTGAGAAGTAGGCTTTTGTCCTAGCTTCCAAATTCAAATCTCATGCAGGCACATTACCAGGCAGTTTGTGAAAATAACCCATGAGGCAATAATGTTAAAACTAGTGGTCCATCTATTTTATTCTATGGGGAAGTCAAATATTTAATTTTTTCTTATTTCTATGGGGAGGTGTTTCTAAGGAACAGCTTCTGGTGGTTTCATATGAAAATGTCTTGAAAGAAGCTCATCTCAGAGAAGGGAAGTGGTCCAGGAAACTTGTATTACAGCAACCTCAAGGAATCAAGGGCATGTCTAGATCATTTGACCAACTGCCATCTTCTCTAGGCCCTGGAATTCTGTTTATATTTTAGTCTTTTTATTCCCAAGATCATTCTGAACCAGGCAGCATTCATTTTCTGTTCATTCTCTAGCTGACTTCAGCCTGAAATTGCCCAAGCCTTACCTCAAATCCCAGGAAACCAGGACCCGTTGAAACCAAGACCAAAAATCCAGAGCTCCAACCACTGCTGAACTTTGGAGGATGTATGACCATAGCTAGGGAAATAGGTTCTGTCCCCTGAATGTTATGGTGAAATTCTTGTAAACTCATGGGTGAAGATCATGGCTTTGAGGGGAGCAGATCACGTTTAGTGTTTGGTCTAGTGTGCGAGCATAGTGTCCTCTTTACCGAGATCACCTGAAAGGGGAGTGTGCCCTTCTTAAAAAGCAGGGTCAGAGATCCCTTTCCACTGATGTCGGGGATTGACTTGATTTAGAAAATATCAGGTAGTATGTACAAGGGCACATGTTCAGAGGGTATTCACTGCATTATTGGTATAGTGGACAAGTTGGAAACAACCTAAAAACCTCCAAGAGGGAACTGACTGAATAAACTGTGACCTAACCATACTGTAAAATGCTATGTAGCAGCTAAAAACTGTATTGATCTCTACGTATTGACACGGAGAGATCATCAAGACCCATTGCCGAGTGAAAAAAGTGAGTTGTGGAACAGTTCTGATAGTACACTGTTCATGTTAGGATAGGAAATAAAGATGATAATTTCATACATTTCCCTAGGCATATACATGCATCACTTAAACACAGGTAAAAGGGTGGACACACGCCAACCTGTCACCTCAGGGACAGGGACTGGAATTAAAGAAGAGGTCGAGAGACACTGTGTCCTATTTGAAATTTTTTTTTTTTTTTAAGATGACTGGTAAGGGGATCTTAACCCTTGACTTGGTGTTGTTAGCACCACACTCTCCCAAGTGAGCTAACCGGCCATCCCTATATAGGGATCCGAACCCGTGGCCTTGGTATTATCGGCACCACACTGTCCCAAGTGAGCCACAGGCCGGCCCTTGAAAATTTTTATGTTGAACAAGTATGTGTGTCCTGTGCAACTTAGAGTAATCATTTTTAAATGAAAAAAAGAAATAAGTCATATATTTGAGGTCTTGTCATTAAAATGTTCTAGACCAAATAAATGTGTGACCACTGCTTCCTGTGAGCCATCCCACAGGAATGCAATGGAGGGCAATTTAGGGAAATAATAGTCACTTGAATAGTGAGTTATACATCTAGCCTTTTGCACTCAAAAGAGCTCTAACATACTTAAAATCATTGGCATAGCTCAAGATGCATCTGGCTTGCCCAAGGGGCATGTCAGCCACTCAGAGTACTCGTGAGGTATAGAAGTACTAAGAAAGCTTAACTATGGCTGTTCTGGCCCACAGGAGGCCCTGGAGGCGTGCCAGACCCGCATCTCCAAGATGGAGCTGCAGCAGCAGCAGCAGCAAGTGGTGCAGCTGGAAGGGCTGGAGAATGCCACCGCTCGGAACCTTCTGGGCAAACTCATCAACATTCTCCTGGCTGTCATGGCTGTTCTTTTGGTCTTTGTCTCCACAGTAGCCAACTGCGTGGTCCCCCTTATGAAGACTCGCAACAGGACGTTCAGCACTTTATTCCTTGTGGTTTTCGTTGCCTTTCTCTGGAAGCACTGGGATGCCCTCTTCAGCTATGTGGAACGGTTCTTTTCATCCCCCAGATGATGCTGGCACAAGAAGGCAGTGCTCCCTCCCCTCTGGCGAGTGCATGCAGCAGAGAGTTAGACAGCAACTTACCTACTCTGAAGTTTTCTACAACAACAAAAGAGTTGAGTGAATCTGTTTACATTTAGGATAATGTTTTTTTCTTCAAGAGACGCAATTGCAATAGTATTTTTTAGATTTTATCCAAGAAGTTTTTTGGGCAAAAATCTTGGATCATTTTTATGTAGCATGATTTTCCTCGGGATGCAAATCTTAAACAGTCCTTTAACATGAAACAACAATCTGGAGCACACTGAAGGGCATTCTAAATTGTGGCTTGAAGGACTGCACTAAAACCCACTAAAAAGATTAAAAAAACCTGATTAGGGCAAACCAATTATACCTAACACCTTGCCTTGTCTGGGCTCACCACCTCTTCCCATCCCAGACTAACTTTACTGTGAAATCCTACCACATTCCATGTCTGAATTCTGGATTCAGGGTGGATTTTCCTTGTCTGTGGAAGAACATGGATCTCCCTGGCTTTCTCACCCAAGCTCGCCACTCACACTAACCCTGGAAGTACGGTCACTTTTGAGCCTGGTCCCTTAACCTTGCTAGGATACAGAAGTGAGAGCATCGTGCCCCACAGGATCACTGCATAGTTCTATTACAGTATTTTGACATAGCCCTCTACATATGTGATTTTAAGCAAAGTCCCTTGGCCGCACTTTTAAGGTTTTTTTTTTTTTTGTGTATAGTTACCAACTTAATAAAAAATCTGAACAGCATACTTGAAGAATGTAATACTCAAACTCTCAGTGCTTCCTTATGGTTTCTAATAGGATTTTTTATTATTGTTATTATTATTATTATTATTATTATTATGGGTTTTTCTGGAAAGGGTTGGGAGGGTCTTTTATCTTTCCTTTGAAATAAAGAAGTGATGTTTTTAAATGAAGAAATGTGTGGATATTTAAGTGTGCTGCTCCCTCTTGTCTTGAAACAGTTTAAGAAAGACTTGCTGTAAATGCTGCCCTCTGCCGCCCTTGTTTTGAAATACAGCTTAAACTCCATTCTCTGGCTGCTGCTTCTTTCTGGTGTCCTGCCACCCCCACACCACTGCTTTCAGGCTTGGCTTGGTTGGAGAGGAAAGGGGTATGCAGGGAGAGGGGGAGGCTATTTCCACAAACCAGCGTGGGAGGAGAAGGACTTTTTTTTACCCCAAGAAAATGTTCACCCAGTGACCTTGGGCTGGGGTCGTCTTTAGAAAAAATTGATACTATGTTATGAGAGTCATAAATAATGCCTTGTTTCCTTAATTTATTTTTTAATACCCCGTAATTACTGAAACCAAAGTGATGTGGAGTCTTCTGTCTGCATTTTGGCCCCAGCATCCTTAATTTCAAAGCTTTATTCTGTCTGCCTAAGAGAATCAATTGAAAATGATTCTCCTACAGAACAGAAGAGGAAATGTCAGGTTAGAAGGGCCCAAGTTTTGGGTGTACAATATTGCCAGCTTCTTATTAATCTAGATGACTTATTAACCTAACTAGGCTCAGTGGACTTTTATAGACAGTTTAGAAAAATGGTGTGAGCCTTCTTCCCCATCTTATAGCCAGTTCCATCATCCTGGTGGAACGTGAACTTTTAGAGCTTATCTAGAAAGCTTGGTTAATCTTTTCATATTATTCGTAGTTTTGGGTCACAAATGCTGTTCCCTCTTTGCCTCATTCTGTGGATCTAAGTGGTGAGTGGGGGCATTTAATATGCCCTAAAAAGAGTAGCAAAGCATGCTTTGCCTATTTTCCCCATACCAGGAAATTCTTTTGGAACTAGATTAGCATTGCCCAGTCTGTCTGAAAAGATGGTTTACGTGACAGCTCAGCCTCCTTTTGCTTTGGCAAGCTGGCCTTTTCAGAGTCAGTGTGTTGTTTCCATAATCACTTTGACATTTTAACTCAGGTACCCCAGTCTTCACCCAGACTATTGCAGTACACCAGTTAGCTCTGTTGCCTCCTCAAAATTCACACCCAGAGCAAGGACCACAGGAGTGATTTTTCTTTTAAGAAAATAATTAGAAACAATTCATGTTCATGCCAGAAACAAATTGTCCACAAGCCTATATACTTTTAATATTAACTTTGCATAAAAAATATTGTAGTGAGGTCTGGCCCGTGGCTCACTCGGGAGAGTGTGGTGCTGATAACACCAAGGCCACAGGTTCGGATCCTATATAGGGATGACTGGTTCGCTCACTGGCTGAGCATGGTGCTGACAACACCAAGCCAAGGGTAAGATCCCCCTACCGGTCATCTTTAAAAAAAAAAAAAAATTGTGACTTTAGGTAACAATGCCAAAGGACACTATGACCTTGTCAAACTAACACAGTTTCTCCTTTGGCTTTATTGCTCAGAATAGAGAAGATAACCCCACAAAGTTGTTGAAAAGATGCTCTAGCCACAACCCACCAGTTTTTCTAAAGTAGGATTTTTGAGTTCCCTAAATTGCATGGAGGCTACTAAATTTTGGGGGCACTGGAAGTCACTGTGGTAGATGAATGGAAGTTGTTCCCAGTTGCCTTGGGACAGTCTCCTTCAAGGGAAAGTTTTCATCTCTGGAAAGCCCCCTGAACTCCAGCCAAACAAGGTCCATGCTGACTTTGCATCTTCCTCTCTCAGACTGTCTTAGGAAGGACCTTCAGTCCAGATCAGGCACAGTAATGGCTTTCTAGCTCTTTGGTTATTCATCAGGCCCAACAGTTGTCTGCATTTAACGCTATTTGTAACCTTGGATCTGTTTTCACACCTTCCTGTACTTTTTGCTGCCTATCCCTGTTGCCTTTGAGTTTCTTTGCATTGTGGCTGTTCTTGGGTTCTCTTGTCTGTTCAAAGCTCTTCTGTAACCTTGCTCGCTAATGGTTTAACAGTTGTTCTGGGTGGAAACTTAGCCTCACTTTAATGCTTCTGCTCTTTAAAAAAAAAAAAAAAAAAAGACTGTGCATTCCCTTTGAAATGAAGCATTCCTGTGTTACTTGTTCATGATGGTGCCTTGCCTGGCTGAGTGAGGCTGGCTGTGTTGGCCTGGATGACTCTGTTCAGGTGGTATAATGACCATCATTTTACATTGTTGATGATAATTGAAGGGCACTTGCGTCGGCTCCAATTTTGATTCTTTGGTATACTCGATGCATCCTAGCAAGGAAGGCTTTCTACTCCACTGGATTCATAAGAAATGAAAGTAGGTTAAACTTTATACTTAGGATGCAGATCCCCACATGGGCCAGCTGCAAAAAAAGTAAACTATATTTCACTAACGGATTTTCTCTCTCCCCTATTCCAACTGGAGTAAAAATCTGATGCCAAGAAAAACACTGGGATCCAGCCTTCCTTGCCAGTGATTTCCTAATAATAAGTATATTTTCGTGTGGTCTTCAGTGCATTTGGTTTTGCTTCTGATTTCATATTCCTTTGAGGTACAGTCAGTTGAGTGCTGAGTTCCAAGTGAGTCCAATGAGGAGCTGCCTTCCAGCTTTGGAAAATATGCATCCAAAATAAAACCAAACATTGTTATAATCAACCAACACACAGAATTATGGTTCCCACACCTCCTCTACCAAATGAAACCTGGGAATTTGAATGTGACTCTGAGAGTTAACATTTCTGTCTGTGTGTTGTGTATGCTAGGTGATACCCTCAGTAGGGACTGACTACTAGACTGTGTGTTTTATCAAAGTGTGTAAGAATAAAAACTCACTTGCACGAATTGAAAAGTAAAGAAATGACACTTGTGAACGTGTGAACGTTAACACTGTAGTTGATAGATCTTAAGCTGCTAATTGTTGAGAGAGAATTAAATTTATGTTCTGTCTGGTTGCTGCCGATTCTCAGCAGCACTTTTACTGTACATACAAATCGAAATAAAGACCTCAGATATTAACTTGGTGGTCAGACTCAGATTTGTTTTGCTCTTTATTTTTACATACTCAGTTTCCAGTGCCAAGTCTGTCAATATGAGAACTTTCCACTAGTTTGTTTTGAGAAAATGTGTGTGTGTGTATTTAGTCAATATCTTGTAACTGACAGCTGGGTAGCTGTCATAATCTCCCTGAATTTTATAGACATCATTTCATATAGGTATTTTCCTAAAGTTCCTTTAAACTGGTGGATAAGACCATCTTTTAGTTCTTTGCGCACTATCCAGTGCGCCACCGGGCCGGCCCATACATAAAGAGTTATTTATTATCCAGCCTAATCCTATCTGTGGTTTTGTTATAGAAGTAGTAATTTCCATTAGAACTTTTCCCTCATGATCTCTGGGAGGCCTCTGGAAATCCAGAAGCTCTAAACTTGTCTTTGACAGAGTACCAAGCAGGGACCTGATGACTTGGTCCTTTACCACCCCAGTCTGAATGTCAAGAGATTTGGGCCCCACTTGTGGCTTACTAGCTCTGTGCCACTTACCCCATCTATAAATTAGCAATATCACATCACCCAACTTGATTCTGCTAGTGGGTGTTGTGAAAGCAAGGGATGTCTCTTGTGAAAGCTTTAAAAGTTGCCATGAGAATGCCATGAAGCTTCTTGAAATATGGGGCAGACTGCCATGTACAGTATGTGCAGGTTCATTGCCCAGTCTCAAAGGGATTCATAAGTAAGTTACACTGTGAACAACACATCCTAGAGTTCTGCCATGCATAACGGGCGCATGGAGCAGCCCTGATAATGGGTGATATATAATTTGAAAAAGGCTGTTTTATTTTCATCCATTAAAAACTTTGGAGAATGGGAGGATAGTTATATACACCTGAGAAGCTGTGGTGTAGAAAATAGATTGGGAAGGCAGGGGAGGGTGTGTCCAACTGGAAAATGCATGCCTCTCCTAAAGGATTCAAGTATATTATTTTTAAATTCTTTTGTCCAAACTAAACACCTAGCTAGCCAACTTGTAACCCCAAGTCTACACAGTAAAGAGCAGCTAACATTTATTGAGTACTTGGCACCATGCAGTTACATCAATTAATTCTCCCCCCAGTCTTATGCAGGAGGTATCATCTTCGTTATCTAGGAAAGGAAACTGAAGCTTTGGTTAAATGGGTTGCACCAAATTAATTAGGAACTAGTAAATTAATGCAATGGAAAATAGATCTGTGAAGCAAATGTGACAAGATGGCTGTCCATAACTGAGTGGAAGAATGCAAGTCAGTAAGAAGACAGCTCAGCAGAAAAATAGATGTTCACAGAAAAAGAAATAGCCAGGAAGCATTGCAGAAAAATGTTTGGCCTGCTGTTTAAATCAGCACATTAAATGAAAAAAAGCCAGTTGTGAATAATGTAGTCTGCCATTCATGTTGAAAATATTTTTATTTGTGTAAATATATGCATGTAGATGTATAGAAACTTCACATTAAACTATCCCAGTTATTTTGGGAAGGGGAGAGGGAGGAATGGTGGTGAAGCAGGACTTTCGTGTTTGGCTCCTGTAAAATATGAATCCCTTTGAAGAGAATGTATTGTGTACTTTTTAAATTAAATACATCTAAACTTTTTAAAAAGAAAATATGTCCATTGAGGAGAGGTGAAAAAAGAATTGATAGTGTTCCTAAGGCCTGATTATGCTAGACCATGGCTCTGGACCAAGTTTGGAGCAACTCTTGAGCCTTCTTCTAGCCTTGGAAATCTTGGCTTGGTGGTCAAGAGGCCTGGAGGATTGAGGAGGAAGGGCAGGTGCAGAGGTGTGATCACAGCAGCTGGGCTGCCTGTTTAGTTCAGCTCTTCTGCAGCAGCCTTTGAGAGCCACTCTATCTATATGAGACTGGGCTGTGGAGGTAAAAGGAACTTGGTAGAACGAGATACATGATGCAGTAGAGGCAGAAGCTGTGCGGGAGCAAAGAGGAGGAAGCCATCTGGACAGGGCAACTGGGAAGGGCCCAGTGGAGGCAGCAGTGGTGTCTGGGCTGGG